CAGCACGGGGTCCATAAAGTGCCTTCTGTCGTATACTAGTTACTTTTGTAATAGATGGGGGCGCACAGTGCATTAACACGTTTTTTGGGATCATTAACACCTAATTGAATGGTTTCATTGCCATTGTAGGTAGGCAGAGTATACGTATATCTTTCCACCCGGTAAGCTGATTCTGGTCCAGTAGAATATTCCGGGGCATCAGCGGCAGCCTCTGGGGTGGCTTGACCGTCTACTGTGCCAAGACAGCCGACGTAGTCTTCGAGTATAGCATCAACTTCTCCACTGGCCGAACGTCATTGGGGACAACTGTGCGACTGATTGTAGTGTTGATGGCAAAATCACCCCTATCTTGCTCGAGTTCTGTTTTGAGCGAGTGTAGAGCATAGATAATACTCGGCGTAGAGCAGTCGTTTAGTACATAGGCCTTTAAAATCTTTGGTCCCGACCGGAATCTCGCAGGGGGTTCGGCCCTCGTCCTCAATAAAAAAAAGACTATACGCCCCAACTGGTGAAAAGTAATCGCCGGGATCATAGCGGATGAACTGCCTGCTGCTGAGGACTCTCCTCACGACTGACTTATACAAAGAGCGCCTCAACCACTGAAGCCTGTTTTGTTATCCTTAACAGTAGGTACATAGTGATTGAGTGAACTTTTTATATCATTTAAAGAGAATTTGAGGGCCCAGTGAGTCAAATCCTATAGTATTATGGCTTTGTTATGTTCAGCCTAGCTAGTTCTGTTTCGAGCGAGTGTAGAGCATAGATAATACTCGGAGTAGAGCAGTTGTTTAGTGCATTGGCCTTTAAAATCTTTGGTCCCAGCCGGAATCTCGCAGGGGGTTCGGCCCTCGTCCTCAATAAAAAAAAGACTATACGCCCCAACTGGTGAAAAGTAATCGCCGGGGGCATAGCGGATGAACTGCCTTCTGCTGAGGACTCTCCTCAAGCCTGACTTATACAAAGAGCGCCACAACCACTGAAGCCTGTTTTGTTATCCTTAACAGTAGGTACATAGTAATTGAGTGAACTTTTTATATCATTTAAAGAGAATTTGAGGGCCCAGTGAGTCAAATCCTATAGTATTATGGCTTGGTTATGTTCAGCCTAGCATATTTCGTTTGTTCGATCAAATCTATTTTAGAGTAGGAAATAAGTAGGTACTTGCAACAATAATTTATTGAATCTTGATGGTGGGAATGTATAGAAGACTATTAGAAAATAGTAACGTCATGAAATAGAAGGTAATCGTTAACTTCCATATTTTTTTATAAATCGAAAATAAATATAGTATTAAGTGCAATAAAAACAATAACATATTAACATTTTAGGGCAAAGAGATTATAAGCCATTTAAAATAGTTACCGTGATTGCTTTTTCAAAGGAACGTAAGGACCAAAATTGTTTGAATTTTTTTTTTCCAGTTTATTACAGTTTGAGGTAGATCAACTTCATTTCATTCCGTTTCACTGAGATTTTGTAAACTAATGTATCTATATCTACACATATATAGGTATATCCATCAGACTTCAGTAATTCATACGGAGGATAGAACTACCTCTACCCTCCATAGTAATTCACTATATAAACTAGAAACTGCCACACTGCCAGATTGCCATACTGAAAAAAAAAGAAATACTGTCCCTGATCATGCCGTGATGATCATCAGCCAAGCCCCTAATTTGAAGCATTTAATAAATCTCGTTTGAAGAACATTACTCGACAGAAATAAAAACAATAAACAGAAAAGTCTCCAATGCTACCAAGATGAGACTAGTCCGGACGTTGGTTTTCTCGATTTTCCTCTATGGTGCAGAGTCGTGGACGATTCGAACAACAGAGCGGAAAAAAATAGATGCGTTCGAGATGTGGTGTTGGCGATGAATGCTCCGCATACCGTGGACCGCCAAGAGAACAAACAAATCTGTTCTCGAGAACTTCGTATAGAAACGAGACTGTCGACGATTTGCTACCAGAAGGTTCTTGGTTACTTTGGTCATATTACTCGGCGGCCACCAGACAACCTTGAAAGATTGATTGTGGTGGGCAAGGTAGAAGGGAAAAGACCCGCCGGCCGGCCACCATACCGTTGGTCGGATCAGATAACTGCGCTCAGTGGATTCTCTGTTGCGAACGCCCTGAGAGAAGCAGAAAACCGAAGCAAATGGAAGCTGAGGGTACAAAGAGCCACGAAGGGCTTTCAAGGACACGACCTTCAGCAATGAAGTATTCGACTAAGAAGAAGAAGAAGAACATTAACTTAAATCGTTATCCTTATAAGTACTATATTAAACCATACAGCCCGCTGCATGTACTAATTCGACATGAATCTACTATCAATTCCACAAGTTAGCTATACACACGGGTGATTAGGTTAGGTTTTGGCCTCGAAACAATCTTGCGATTCTGTTCATAGAGTCGAGTACTGTATGGTGGCCAATAACAAAGTTAGAGACGTGCAGAGCAGCACAAAAAAAGGTTAAACTGGGTTTCGGAGCTGTAGCGAGGACCTAGGAAACATTTTTAACCACTACTGCACTATTGAACTCTACACTGCAACTTTTAGCAATACAGGCTAAAACTAGTCACAAAAAATTAGGGGATAATTGGATCCTAAAAGAAATTAAACGGGTATTTTTTTGTTTCAACCCACGTACTGAACTGCTTGACATAAGCCTCCTCCAAAGTTCGCCATAATAGCCGGTCGTAATAACCGCAACTTGCATTCAGCGGATTCCCGCGACTTTTAGCGGGTCGTCGCAATGTGAATAGTCTGTGATGAATTGTAATAATAAATATTCCAAAAATGAGACTTGGACAAGGATTTTTAGCGCTTAAGGAAAATAATCCAATCTGGTATATTCTATGTATACTGACGGTTCTAAAATCAGTTCAGGAAAGAAAGCGGCTATGCACTCTGTGTAAGGATGGGTAGAACGATAAATCCACCTAAGAACTCGAGTTATTCTAGGCTCGTCGAAAATATATGAATAGTTCTTAAAATACATACACAAACTTTACAACATATTTGGATGAAATTTTGCCCAAATAAGTTTATAACTTGGTTTAATACTTTTTATCGTGATAAATGACATGATCCAGGCGAGGCCGAATATACTTACTTATTGTAATTGCGACATTGCGTTCGCTGTTTCATGATTTTACTTACCAAGGAATCTACAAATAAGAAAAGTAGCTTGTAGACAAAAGTGACAAAATAACTATTTATGTTTGAAAAGGGCCACTTCATTTTTTCTAATTAACCATTTAGCAGGTATGAAAACCCAGCGCCCAAACCATTGCCCATCGTCAATAGTTACCGTAGCGTTCCCAATAGCGTTGGATAGAACACACTACTGCGCAGCGGAGGCAACGCAGCATCCATTTTTTTCCTACCTATGCTTATAGCCTTGAGAGGCTATTTCAGCTTCACCCTAACGTATAGGTGAGCTCACGGGGCTCAAACCGGAAATGATGCTAACGCTGGCCCTAACAAGAGCAGTGCTTCGCAGAATCTACCACCGGATCGGAAACGCAACCCACTGAGAAGATCCAGCGAGAAACTGAGTGTTTATTTACTCGTCGAGCCTTTCGTTGCAAGTGACGGGTTCGGCGAGGGCGGTGAACGGTGCTTGAGGTACCTAAAAGCACCGTAATGGATCGGGAGGATCCCTAATGACGGGGCATCAATCGCATTTGAGTGTCAAGGCAGGAGAAGACCTATGTGCTTAGTGCGTGTTTTTTAACGTTTTCGATAGCGTAAAAGTTAACTCAAATTGGTATGGAGTTCTATGAGGAGGCAGTCTCCTCCCGGTGATGGTCATGGGGCGACCCAAGAGGGTTGCGGCTGCGCCGCACGCTACCGTTACTCTAGCGAGCTGGCACCAGGAGGACGGGACGACGCGTCGGCGGCTGCGGTCCGCATTTTCGTCGTCGCTGTCGTCGCCGAACATACTCTGGAAGAGCAACCCGGTCGGCGGTGTATAGCGTTTCGACCCGGCAGGCTGGTTCTGGCCCAGCGGGGTAACCCGGAACACTAGCAGCATCGCCCGGGCGGCCTGGTAGGGCCGCCGTACCACGGAGACCGACGTCATTGGTCGTCGACTATCGCCTTGAAGACCTGTCGGTCGGGCGTCCTCGGGGTGGCGCCGCGTGTCTGGTTGTAGTGTTGACCGCGGGAGCCCCCCCTACTCAACTCAACACCTGCAGATCGTTGAGTCTCACATACCCCGCGCGCCCCTTATGCGCGTGGACCTCGTAGGAGGTTCGGCCCCCGGCCCGAAAAAATAATAATAATTGGTATGGAGTTGGAACGTTTGCCGCTAGAGGGCGCTGTTGTTATGGTTGATATTGATTTATCAGAAATAATATTTTGTTGGTATTTATTTAGTAATGTGAGATGATTGAGATAGATTAGGCTTAAATATACTTGATTTTTAGGGCGTCAATATTTCCTTTATACTGAAAATATCAATATTTGCAAAAAGTATTTGACTTTTTGGCGCTTATGATATAAATACGAGTTATTGAAAATGTCCGTAAGTTAGTAGAAAATTCTTGCAATTAAAGTAAAACGCATTTTGTACGTGAGAAAATATATATTATTTATTCACAGTTGAAAAGAAATAAAATGCTTGAATATTAAACGAAATTTAATTATTTTTGTCAATAAAAGTAAATCGCTAAAATAATTAGAGTGAAATTTGTTTGTCATAATACACTATTTTGTATAATAACTAAAGGGCCATTCATTAATAATACAATAACTAATTTTCTGTGCACTGTAACAACACATATCTATACGATTTCAGACTCCCAATCTACGTTCTTACGCAAGATTTTTTTAAATAAATTGTTACCTATGTGCATTATTAAATAATTACGTACACTAATATTTATAGTTTGACATAAATGGTTTTTGTAAAGGTAATTATTATTAATATTATTATAACTGTTAATTAGATATGAAAAAAAANCTAATTTTCTGTGCACTGTAACAACACATATCTATACGATTTCAGACTCCCAATCTACGTTCTTACGCAAGATTTTTTTAAATAAATTGTTACCTATGTGCATTATTAAATAATTACGTACACTAATATTTATAGTTTGACATAAATGGTTTTTGTAAAGGTAATTATTATTAATATTATTATAACTGTTAATTAGATATGAAAAAAAATATTCATTGTAACTTGCCCTAGCTTTACGCAAGAATTGTTTTAACAACCCAGGAGTCTATGAATGGTCCCTAAACTTATACCAACTAATATTATCCCAAACTGTTATTCTGGGTGAACAGGAACAAACAAATAATACTATTATAAAAGTACATATATATCGTTTATTTTAGCAAAGTTATAAGATATTCGCGTGATGGGCCTAATTGTTAGTGCTGAATTTACACGCATATAATACACAGCAAGTCCCAAAGTATGTACAAAGCTTAGAAAAAATATTTGAGCCGAACATTGATAGCTACTATAGTACTTGTGTCATAGGGAACTCAGATCAAGAGAATTAAGATTCTCATTATATTTTACAATTTTCATCACAATATAATGCAATAAATTAGCAACATTCTTCGCTCGTTTCTATTATTAAATTGATTTAACGCTTTATATTGAAAAAAAAACAAAACAACGGAAATGAGACTACCAATTTCATCAAAAAATTCGTCTTACAATTTCGTACAAACTTAATGCCCAATTCTCACTTTGATACTTGTAGGTGCTTGCCGCTGTTTAGCAATAGTGTAAAACCAGCATAACATTCACGCTTACAAAATATATAAAAATTGTTATCGGGAAGAGGGTTAATACATTAAATTAATCAAGGGACATTCCGGCATCATCATCTTTTTTACTATTTTGATCGTCTTTAGATTTATCCTTTTTTTTGTCGTCTTCTTTTGTCGTGGTACCTGACGAAGAAGAAGTGTCTTCCAGTGCCTTGAAGACGGCTTCAATGTTTCCCGTATTTGCAGCAGATGAGACTTCCGACGGTAAGCCGAATTGTGACATTACTGGCCCCATCTGTCCGGAACCCACCGCTGAAGAAAACTGATTTGCGGCCTATAAGTTTATTAATGCACTAAATTAATTTTATCTTTTCATGTATATACAAAAATCTTAATCATCTTGATATGCGCTTAAACTAGACAATTTGACACAAACTTTTGTTTTAACTTAATTTCACTTGTACACTTTCACATTGCACATAGGTTGAAAATTCTGGAGTATATTTGTCTCCATAATTGTAAATTTTTTACGATTTTGTTCCGCCCTCAGCAACATGTTCAGATAATCTGTTCAGTTTAAATTTGGCGTTTTTTTTTTAGGATTATGTTTTTCAATTTCAATTACAATGAAAGTACAAACTAACACATTTTCTATTAATTTGTTTGTTTGTTCTTAGAAGTGCTCCAAGTAACTTTATTAGGGTAATTAGAAATATTTAAATCTAAATGGTTGATTTGGTTATTTGTGTGCATAGTATTTATATGCCAAAAATATATATTCACCTAAAAAGTAATAAAGATCATAATGACAAAAAAAATAATTAATGACGTCCAACGACGTAATCAATACTTTGCGCTTTAATATTGTAACATTCAATATGGATGCATAAATGTAATGAAACATAAGTAATGCTCGTGTTGAACGCCGAAGCAAAAAAAAAAGGAGAAAGTAAAGTTGAAGCCGCACACGTGAACTCAGAGCAGCAGGGAGCGCGCTAGATTAGGGGATCACCTGAGCGAACTGCGGGGAGAGCAGGGTGGTCCTTACATCGTCCTGGGCGGGCAGGTGTGGCGCCAGTCGCACGGCATTCTCCGGGGCCGAAGCAGTAGACACTACGTCGGAAGCTGACAGAACGCTGCCCAGATCGACATTGACTGCACCAGCTACGGGGGCCGTCCTTGACGCACCGTTCCCTTCCGGCGGAGCTGTGCCTAGTTCGGAAAAGTAACGCTGCAGATCCGACAGGAATATTTGTCCGCCTGGAAACATAATTTTTTATTTATAGCTTATATGGGTGGACGAGCTCACAGCCCACCTGGTGTTAAGTGGTCACTGGAACCCATAGACATCTACAACGTAAATGCGCCACCCACCTTGAGATATAAGTTCTAAAGTCTCAGTATAGTTACAATGGCTACCCCACCCTTCAAACCGAAACGCATTGCTGCTTCACGGCAGAAATAAGCGGGATGGTGGTACCTACCTGTGCGGACTCACAAGAGGTCCTACCACCAGTAATATGTTAGTATAATTAGTCTTGTAAGTTTTTCAAATTCTAGATTAATTAACAAGTAGTTTTTGGAACTTGTCAATTTCCTTACTTCTATTCTGGGCAGGAGCATTGGCAGTATTGGGTGGTGTGGCAGTCGTTGTGGCCGTGGTTGTGGCGGTTGCAGCAGTAGGTGTGGGCGCGGTAACGGCGGGAGCGGGTGTCGCAGCTGGCAGGTCACGAGCGCGAGCAGGTGTACGTGTCTCTGTGCTGCTGCGTGGAGTGCTGCCACTGCGAGACGCGCTGCTGCCAGATGTTCTGCTACTGCTGTTATTCCTGTTTACATAAGTAGAACATATTATTAAATAATAAAATCTTAAAAAATGATTATGATTTAAATGTAGGACACCAGTGTGCTTAGTGCGAGTTGTTTAACGTTCTCGATAGCGTAAAGTTAACCCAAATTTGTATGCAGTTGGCGCCCCTAGCGGCAAACGTAGGCAGACGTTGTGCAAAAGTTGAGGGAGGCCAGCAGCTTTGTCGTCCATAAAAATTCGTATTTTTATGGATTAGTAATTAGGAGATTGTTTATAGGGGACTTATTGTCTCACATGTGTACCAATTTCTTCGCTGTTATAGATAGGCAGACGAGCATACACTGATGATGTGTTGTTTAATGCCGCTCATGGACGTCAGCAATACTAGAGATAGAGTTAAGTCGCTGTCTACCGCTAGTACCACCCTCCTCCGCAAGTCTCGTTTGAAGTGTGCATGCAATGTGCAAATTTTTTCATTTACATTATATTGCATTGTATGATATGATTCACCCCACACATTCTCAACACATTAATTCAGGTCCACACTAAAGATCTATGTTTCTTAACGTCTGACTGAAGGTAGTTGGTAGTTGGTAGCATTCTCATTGTGACATCTATGGGCTCCTCCCACAGCTCAATTCAAATTTCCATTCAAGTAAAAAGCACCCTTTATAGAAACTGCTAAGTAAAAGTAAGTGTAATTCCTCATTTTTGGCTTATCCATAAATGTGACTTTTAATTACAATTCCATAAAGACTAAATTCCGTTGCATTATTAACTGATGACTTAAATTAATATTAATTTCGATATTATAATAGCCGGCAAACTTCTTGAGCATTTGTTGACGTAGTGGGGGTAAGTTCGCGCATGGTACACTCACGTACAAAAACATTATTTACTCTGCGTCATAATGCAATTAAATTATTAAAATCAACATATATATTTATTTATATACTTATTAGAACATCAACAAAAAATATAGGTTAATAATTGTAATAATTTAATCTTGCGGTAAAATAAATATTCCTTCTATTAAGTCATAACTAGAGCTGTTGCCAGGACTTGGTTCAGTTGAAGCGAAGCTGGTATTTGTAATTTTTTTTTCGTTATCATAATCTTGACCATCATCATCAATCACTGTTTTCATTACCCGAGTCGCTATCATCGTGATGAGTCGACATAGGGCTCATCGGTGTAGTTTCGGTCGGTTCGGTCTACTTTTTTGTCTATAATTAATTATTTTTTGAAGATATTCGATTCGTAGTAATCGAATGTAACTTTTTTCAATTACCAGCTTCCGATTATTTTCTGGTTTTTTTTTCCATCTGAAGCCTAGCTCTTTCATAATTCGTTTCCATTAAAATTTATATCTTCTTTAAATTTTTCGAAGCCTTTCTACGGTAAGGAGTTTCGCTGCTTGTTATGTAGTTATTATGATTACATCTTTTTATTAGATTGAACGAAACTATCCATTCCGGTAACTTTATTCTTCCCTGATCTTTTCTTACCCGGAGTCCGAAACACGGCGAGCAAGCCAGAGCCTTTAGCTTCGTTAATAATGCACCTAACAGTACTCACGGATGTTTTTGTTGCTTCCGAAGTCTGTTTTACTTTTCCATATCATTCTTCCTCTGTTTTATAATGAAGCAACATACGTCGTACATATTTTTTCTACCCTTTCTTTTGAATACTACACCAGTTTGTCGCGGCATAGTGTATTTTTTATAAAAAATCAACAAACAGCAATGGCAACAAAGTCAACAAGCAATTATAACAAATAACTTAACGATTAATAACGATAGACTTTTCACTGTACGCAAGCGTACTTTTGGGAGCAAGCGGAACGAGGGCGCGTTGCGGGGCGCAAGGTTCGACTGATCTACCAATAACGCGCTCGATACAATTTCCCCTGCCGTCGCGCCTCACCCTCACCACCAAAGTGATATAAAATTCGGTTCTGCGCAGTCAAGGTCATTTGCTCAAGAAGTTTGCCGGTTACTTTACCAGGGGTGTAAAAGGTTTTTTTTAAATTGAATGCAATCAATTCAATACTTCTATAAACTCATAATAGATTTTTTAATCAAAATTAGGCAATTATAAGCTGTTTATCTTCTGCTGATAAAATTAATTGTAAATTATTATAATACACAAAAATATGTGAGCAAACAAATTTTAATAAGCCAAACTGAACATTCATGACATACAGGTTTTTTTTTTATTGCCCTTGTAGGCAGACAAGCATACGGCCCACCTGATAGTGAGTGGTTACCGTCGCCCACGGACTTCAGCAATGTCAGAAGCAAAGCCAAGCCGCTGCCTACCGAAAATCATCTTCTCCATACAGCGAAGCAAGAGATATTTAATATCTAGCACTCCAGAAAACAAGACTGCACATATATTATATTAAATTACTCCATATTCCAAATTATTTATGTTTACTATTCACTATTATCATTTATTTATAAAGTAGGAAAAAGATAATGGTGTCAAAGAAAGATCTTTTTTTGTAATTGTTTGACTTTTATGTATTTTCATGATTACATTTTGATAAAAAATTTATGATGTATGCCTGTTTTATTACAAATGCATTGTTTGTTTTTTTTAAGATGATTTATTGGTTAAGGTTATTGGTTCCATCAATACTTAACCTGCTGATCTAAAATTTTGATGACATACTTATTGTCATAAAACTTAACTAAGGCAGACTTAAGAGAAAACAAAGTTTGTGCAAAAAACACTTAACTGATTCATGATGCATTTGCAAATCAATATAGAATGTATTTGAGGAACAAAAATGAATTCTAATACATTTTGAATTTTCAAGAAGCAGTTGAAAATGCTTTTAGAGATCATACTCTTAAAACTGGTTGAAATTGATCATCACAACCAAATGTAAGGTTAAATATGCAATATTTTTTTTATATTTACATTAGTGGCGAGAATGAGCTAAAATTGATATACTTATTGTGCTACTTATACTATTATAATATTATTAGCATAATATTTACCCCATTGTTCCTAAGAGAGAAGTAATTCCTCCCACTGGACCAACACCTCCAAATAATTGCATTAGCTGTTGTTGAGACATATTGTTGAGTAAATTACGTATTTCACGATCTTGCCCACCACTACTGCTTCCTCCACGCCCACCAGATGTAGGAGGATTGTTTAATGCTTCATTAATGCGCCGACAGTATTCTTCATCCTTGTCAGCCTTTGGCTCCTGAAAGGGCTTTCATTAATTTCTTTATCATAGAGTTTCATAGTTCAATAAGTTTTACTAATAGACTGTCATGTAGGAAGTAATTTGGAGGTCCTGATAGGTCGTCTTGTCAGTCTACATTGGTAGGTGCCACAATCTTGCCTATTTTTACCATGAAGCAGTTAAGCAGTCTGGAAAGGTGAGGCAACTGTTTTACTGTAAAAATATATCTCATGGTGGGTGTAGGCATATAACATCTACAGATGTTCTGGTAACTACTGCGCACCAAGTGGGTGGTGCACTCTAAGCAATAACCTCGTTTAAGTAATAAAAAAACGTTTATATAAATATAAAATATGTTTGTTAAAAAACTAGAAATTTCTTGGTTCTTGTAAAGATAAAAAGTCTAAAAGTGTGATTAGAAAACAAAATAAGCTATAAATCTCAATAAAATAGAAATACATATCATTAAATATTTTTTCTATAAAATAACAATTCTTCTTTAAGTGAGAATATTTTATATGATAGTAAAATTGCTACAATACTACTGAATAGTCAAGATGTCAGACTTTTAATCAAGAGAAATCAATATAAAAATCTAGTCTCTCAATCTATACAATTTTGACTTGGCAATCCAAAAATCTACCATTCTAAAGTACAGCTGAAATCAAACTGGCAATATTTTTTTTTAGAAACCATTGCCATAATTGTAGATTACAATGATTAATTAGTAAACAAATTTAAATGTTGCATCATGATTACTGTTTTTTAATACTTTACACAATAAATTAGCAACAATTTTTACCAAATTTATTTATATTTTTCACTAAGAAATTTACGGTCATCTCATGACAAACAGTTTTAAGGTTATAATATGTGTACTTTCAGACCTGCATCCAGAAGAAGCACTTCTTCGAAAACAACTTGAACTTGAGTACATAAACTCGGCCTGTGGTGCATTCATTCACACGCGTAAATTCACAATCATCAGGAAATATAAGCAAGTCATCCTCAACCTCCCCCGTAGTTCGGTCTTTCCAACAAAAGTGCATGAGAGAATCTTCTCCTTGGTAAACATACAAGAGCCCCTTCCTTTTGTCTGGATGTACCATACGACCTTTCAACGTCATACGACCAGCACGAAATTCTACTATGTGTTTGTTTCCTCCTGAACTTCCCCCAAGACCAGACGTATTGCCAAACAGTGCAGTAGACATTTTCTAAAAAAAAAAAACAAATCTGATCAAACCACAAATGGCGGAGACGGCAGGAACGAAAATAAATACATTTGATAAAAATGCAATTAAATAATTAATCACTTATCAAAGGAATTTAAATCCAGATCTTAATAACTTACATTTTAAAATTAATAGAGATTAAAAAACATAAGATGAACTTAAATGCCCAAAATCGAAATTTTATAAGTTAATAAATGATAACAAGTATGTACTAAGTACTGATATAAAATTTACTAGTATATAATGGATGTAGGTTATGCACTCAATTAAAATACAGCAGTGTTGTGGAGAAATTATTGTTAACTTACACTATGATATGCAGTGTCACTGTGAACCCTTAAAGTACTTTAACCCTTTACAGTAAACTGTTTGAAATAGTTTGAATAGAGTGACGACAAATATATTGAAGTAGGCAAGTACGAAATGTAAAATGACGCCGATGACTAGCACCTTTACTTTTTTTTTAAGGGATTTTATGACCTGGTAACTGAGACCTTTAAGTCATGTCTTATTTTAATTTATATTCATTTTTATGAAAAATGATATTATGGAGTGAAATGAAATGAAGACGACTAATTTGAGACATTAATCAACTGGGGTAAAATTAAATGAAATGAAATGGGATGAAATATAATCTCAGTAAAATGGTGGTCATTTACTAAGATTTTTTCAGTGGACTTTTTGGAGGATCTCGAGAAGTTACGTCCAGCGGCTTTGTTTCATTTTCCCACATTTGTGCACTTTCACAGATATTAAACAGTTAATAAACCACCATTCTTATACATTTAAACCCGAAGAAACACTAAATAGACAAAATAAAACAAATCACACAACTTCACTCCTCGCGTTCCCGCCAAAAAATCCTCTCAAGCACCTTTAGGTATATAAAAATAGGTTATACACTTAATATTGGTAAAGTAGAGTTGCTACATAGACCAATATCGGGACACGACATATTGTTCTATACGTACAATTGTTTATATAAATAGCACCTATTTTGAAGGCACACACATAAACATATATCTATCTCGTTCTTACTCAGTACTGTAACTCGCAGGAAAACAATATAACAGTATTTCAGTGCGTACATAAAATGAAACATGAATATACGTAAATGTCTAATATGGTCTAATGAGGCCGAAAATCCGCCATGTTTAGCGCACCAAATGTCATTGTCACGTCAGTTCAGCCGTCTGTTTTGAGTTGTACATTATTTATTGACTTTGATATCGATATAATATGATTGCTTATATAAAATTTCTTATTTTATCATGCTACCCCGCTTAAAACATACAAAAATAATAATTAAAACATATTTTATAGGATCTCAAGAAAGTCGATGCCCCAAAACTATTATCTACATATATTTAAATTCATTATGGAGCACTCATCCCAAAAATCGGACACCATTTTGAGGTCGGAATCTATTGACAATGACACTAATCATAAATACCTCTTAATAAAATGTGTCATCAAAACATATTTAGACACTCTGTTTAGATATTTCGGGCAAAAGGCTACCGACAAAATTTCTCTTCGGAACTATTTAAATAAAATAGTTTTATTCCGTAGCGAGTAAAACACTATTGTAAATTCATTAATTTTTTAATAATTAAGTGTATTTAGAGGGGAAGTCACAAGGAATGACGTTTGTAATTAAATAAATGTTCTGTAGGTGCTTTTTATCACGCGGTCCCTTGATAAGTTTAAAATTTGAATCACTCTCGAGAGTGATTCAAATGTTGCGGCGCACCTACCTTGAGGTTCGCTGCGGTAGTGTGTTACGGACTTTAGAGTCAGCAATACAATTAAAATAGATTGTAATAGTAAAATAGATTGTAACCGCTGCACGTTCAAGTTAAGGGTTCGGCGAATGCTGTTGGAAAAGTTAGCGGAATCGTCATGAACTTGATGAAGTTATTTGTTAAGGAAATTTATTCCTTTTAATACTGTATAAACTATTATATGTATGTATGTGTGTATATATGTATGTATGTATGTATATGTGATTTTGTATATATGTAGATATACTTTTTTTGTATGTATTCGTTACCTAATATAAATTTCATTGCACCTACCACTATTTACTCTGCACTACCTTTGGTTGACTGGTAGAGAATGCCTTAGGCATTAAGTCCGCCAATGTAAATTTTACATGAAGTGTAATAAATAAATAAATAAATAAATAATAGGGAGGTAAGTAGTCTAAGAAAAACACGTACTCTTATTTTCATATCCAAAACAGCATAGCTAGCATGCTAACGTTTTATCGCCGACATAAAGCTTTAATCCCTTTCCAGCATAAACGCAAGTGCGAGCGAGACGGCAACATACGAAACGACGATAACATTTAGCATGCTAGAAATGCGCAGATGGCACTGTACTGCGCCGCCGCCTTGGGTCCTGGAGGCGGAGGCGCTCGCTGCTGACTATCAGTGGCGGGCTGACCTTCGTATCCGGGGCGTGGCACGTCCCAGCCCCAGTGTGGTCAGAGCGCGGAGGGCCCAATCTCGGCGGTCCGTGCTGGAGGCATGGTCCAGACGGCTGGCCGATCCTTCGGCTGGTCGTAGGACCGTCGAGGCGATTCGCCCGNAGTAGTACCAACCCTAGCAAATTTCTCATTTCGTCCCAATTAACCGCAATTTTCGGGTAAATAGGGATTACACCTATTTTTGCATTTTTTGCTTAAACTGGAATGCTAGTTGCATAATTTTAAATTAGACAACAAAGATGCCCCCAAGACTCAATCATTTTGATCCTTATATAGCATTTTATACATCAACAACTACCTTAAAATCGCTCATAAAGTTGGAATTTGTCCCTAATCGCCCCATTTTACGGTATATAAACATAGGTTATACACTTAATATTGGTAAAGTAGGGTTGCTACATAGACCAATATCGGGACACCACATATTGTTCTATACTTACAATTGTTTATATAAATAGCACCTATTTTGAAGGTACACACATAAACATATATCTATCTCGTTCTTACTCAGTACTGTAACTCGCAGGAAAACAATATAACAGTATTTCAGTGCGTACATAAAATGAAACATGAATATACGTAAATGTCTAATGAGGCCGAAAATCCGCCATGTTTAGCGCACCAAATGTCATTGTCACGTCAGTTCAGCCGTCTGTTTTGAGTTGTACATTATTTATTGACTTTGATATCGATATAATATGATTGCTTATATAAAATTTCTTATTTTATCATGCTACCCCGCTTAAAACATACAAAAATAATAATTAAAACATATTTTATAGGATCTCAAGAAAGTCGATGCCCCAAAACTATTATCTACATATATTTAAATTCATTATGGAGCACTCATCCCAAAAATCGGACACCATTTTGAGGTCGGAATCTATTGATCATGACACTAATCATAAATACCTCTTAATAAAATGTGTCATCAAAACATATTTAGACACTCTGTTTAGATATTTCGGGCAAAAGGCTACGGACAAAATTTATCTTCGGAACTATTTAAATAAAATAGTTTTATTCCGTAGCGAGTAAAACACTATTGTAAATTCGTTATTTTTTTAATAATTAAGTGTATTTAGAGGGGAAGTCACAAGGAATGACGTTTGTAATTAAATAAATGTTCTGTAGGTGCTTTTTATCAGGCGGTCCCTTGATAAGTTTAAAATTTGAATCATTCTCGAGAGTGATTCAAATGTTGCGGCGCACCTACCTTGAGGTTCGCTGCGGTAGTGTGTTACGGACTTTAGAGTCAGCAATACAATTAAAATAGATTGTAATAGGGAGGTAAGTAGTCTAAGAAAAACACGTACTCTTATTTTCATATCCAAAACAGCATAGCTAGCATGCTAACGTTTTATCGCCGACATAAAGCTTTAATCCCTTTCCAGCATAAACGCAAGTGCGAGCGAGACGGCAACATACGAAACGACGATAACATTTAGCATGCTAGAAATGCGCAGATGGCACTGTACTGCGCCACATGTTTATGTTTTGCGGTCACTGAGTTGTCAAACGACAACTTTATAGAATCAGTGTAGGTAGCCCATGGAGTTAATAAGTACCTACCTCCTTAGAATAGTAACTCTATGAGGTAGCCACTTTTAAAAATCGTCATATCGTTTACTTGTTTTAGATTTTACACATCTAAAACACATCATCTTTGCAAATAGCAATATACTTACTTCCTATTAAAGAAGTATAAATTCTACAAATAATTAATACTCAACAATATTTAAAATAAAATGAACCAAGAACGTTTATCGATAAAACCTAATAACATATAATCTTCTGGGCAGCATTAAAACCGCCATGTTTAGTGGCCAGATGACGTCGCAGTGGCTCGCATTTTTTGTTGACGTTGCATTTCCATAAGTTTCATACTTCAGTGGGTTGCAACCTTAAGCCTTTCTCGTACAGAGTACATCCAAAATAATGGGGCGAAAGTGTAAAATCTCCTTTATTTTTAATTAAAGCGTAATAAAAAATAAAAGATTTACAATTTCGAAGTTTCATACTACAACATTGGTGATTTCACGAACGAAAAGTCACGTGGTCTAGCTTTAGTCAATTCCACCTATTTGTGTGCATCACTCCGTAGTTAAGAAATGTACACTGCATTCTAGGCGTGTCATTTTAGTACTTCTCGTGGCTTTCATACCTCTAACATCTCTCAAAATCTCAAATTATAATTATAGTAAAGTATCTCGTCAGTACGAAGAATATCGTTAGTTTCAAAATTGAGTATGAATACAGGTTATTGCCATTCAAACTTATCATTGCTTCAGACAATCATACAGACTGTGTAATTTCTACTGTAATAATTCGGATGTAATAATTCGGAATCACGACCTACTGAGAAGATCCGGCGAGAAACTTAGTGTATTGTGTCTATGGGTTAGTTCGCTCGTCGAACGCTTCGTCGAACTAATCAACGAGTTCGATGAGGACGGTGACCCGTGCTTGAGAGGCCTAAAAGCACCCAGATTGAATCCGGGTTATCCGACAAGACGTGTTTCGGGCGACGGCGGCTTTGCGTTGCACCGTTGCGGTCGGATAAGTAAGGTTTGTATTCTGACCTCAGGGTATAAGAATCGACAGCTGACCCCAAGCAGTACTAGGGGTATCTCCGACGAATGTTTGGATAATCATTTTTTAAGAATCTATTCTGAATTACCTTTATAATATAAATGCGGATGTGAGTTTTTTTTTGTAAATCACTTACATGATAAGACGAGTTCACGCGCCAGCTGGTGTTATATTGTTAAGGCAATGTACTACCATTATTGTTATTATGTTAGAATAAACACAAAAACTGTATCTTCAACGGTACTGCAGACTAACTATCAAGGGCGGATCCAGCTTTGGCTGGAGGGGGTCACATAGTCGTGATCAAGTCAAGAACATATAATTTAATTTTGATAATAATAGATACAAGTAAAAAGTAG